CAACACTATCACCGTCGATTTTAACATCTTGAAAGAAAAACAAAAAAGAGAAAATTGAAAATTTTTCTATGTATTATTTTTTAAATATTCAACCTGGACCAAACGGTTGTTCTTTCGGCCAAAGAATACTTGTAACCCATTCAACACAATGTTCCGGTAAACGTGGATTATGTGCAATTGTACATTGAGGAAAATTAACCTTATTATCAAAAATGTTTTATTTAAATCAACGACGCAAAAAGTCTTGGCACAAAACATTCGATCATTAGAAACAAGATCAGAATTTTTTGCTATTTTCGAATATATATTCAGGCTTTCTTTCTGAGATTTAGATTGAGCACGTATTAGTATATTTTATGAAAAAAAAAATTCAAAACTATGTCTATACAAAGCAAAATAGCGATTTTGGCGCAGTACTTAATTCATATTTTGAAACAACTTCAACTCAACATTATTATAAAGCACTAAATTAGATATTACGACAAGCGAAATCTGATCTATGCGTTTCCAATCGAGAGCTAGTATCTATGGCAATCGGGATTGGTCAAAAAAGTCACTATTTCGAAAAACTATTTTCGTAATCTATCATGTAAGATAAAGTAGAACACTAAATAGCATGCCATCAGGAGATGGTCGTAAAAAGGTCGAAAAGTGCTTTAGAAAATTCTGACTAATAAGTCACACGCTTTATGACTGATATTAATTTGATTGAAAGAAAAAATAGAGAACGAAAGAATAGCGAAAAACTCAATGTTGAGAAAAGTAGTTTTTGAAATTTTCAATCAGCAAGATGAAGACATTTTATTGCATGCAAAAAAAGTAAAAGACGTATAAGTATTCCAACAAGAGATACTAGTGTATGAACAATATTTAAAAACAAAACTAACAACAAGACAATACGTTTCTTTGTGTGGTGTGGATGTTCCTGTGAAGAATACATGTAGATATCAGCCTTCTCTTTACATCAATCCCTACATTCACACTCACACCCCACAGTCTACCCTGAACAGAGTCACTTAATGACATGTAGAATATTTTTTAGGGATATGTCTTTTTTCGACATCCTTTCGTTTGCTATTTTTTCTTTCGGTCAAATTGATACATACTTGCTTTATTGTATGGAATAATACTAACATTCTAACAGAGTTCAAACATAAGTCAAGAGTGAAAAAAAAGAAAAAAATTTATGCTGTCATTTTTTTTCATTTAGCATCTGTAAATGATAAACCATCTAAATATTCTAAAACAATTACAACACTATCAAAATGGCGTCCAGCAAGATTGTCCATACGACGTTGAATTACAATGAAATAGCTGACGATCATGGATCACTTAAATCTAGTGAAGACAGAGTGGCTGCAGCTATGTCACTAGAATTCCAGTTGTATAATAGTTCTTTGTTCGACTCTATTAGTTACAAATCCAGATCAGTAGAGGTATCAGAAAAAGTGACAATGAACTATAGGTGCTTAGAGTAACCATCTACTGGAGACATCACTTTGTTTTCGATTCTTTTCTAGTACACCATTTCAGGTGTGTCGCCCCAATCTCGAACAATATCCTGTTTGTCTTGCTGATCAATCCTCACAACAAGGGTCAACCTCCGCCGAGTATTAGTGACCTCGGAACACCTCTACGCGTTTTATAGGACAATCTGACAAGACAACCTCTGTAGATGCCCCCTCAGATTTCAATGATTCTTTGTCTATAGATATTGTATAGTGTTCTAATAAAAATCCTAAGAGAGTTTGGATTCATATTTAGATTTGCCTAAGCTATCAATTTTTTTTCTCCGAGGCTCCAAGTTTTCGGAAAATTCGTATTTTTGAATTTCGACCTGAAACTTTTTGCAAATAGAGAACTCAACTAGACTAGTTTCCATAAAAAAATTCACAAGTTT